TCCCATAAGTTCTGTCCGAATTTTAACTTTTTGTTAAAATGAACGAAATTTAAAGAATATTTTATAATGTCTAATGGAGCTGAACATTATTTTTATGTTTAGATGCATTTAAACTGATCAAATTTTATTTCAGAGAACAATAAAATTAAATTTTGTTTGATTAAATCCCTGCTAACATGGAAGTACCCAAGAATCATTTGAGGCACATGATGCTTTATGAGTTCAAGAAAGGAAACTCAGCAGCCGAAGCGGCTAGAAACATTCACACAGTTTATGGAGAGAAATGTGTGAATGAAAGAACTTGCAGAAGATGGTTTGCAAAATTCAGAGGTGGAGATTTCACCCTTGAAGATGAAGATGGAACCGGATGTCCAGTTGAGTTTGATGAAAAGCTTCTTGAAGCAGCCCTTGAAGAAAATCCTGCTTTTTCAGTTGAGGAATTGGCAGTGGTTCTCAGTTCAAACCATACAACTGTTCATCGTCATCTTCAACAACTTGGAAAAGTTCCTAAACTTCGTGCCTCATGAATTGTCTGAAAACAACCTCAAATCCCGAGTTGACATCTGCTCTTCTCTCCATTCTCGCCAACTTGTTTCACCTTTTTTGGATAGACTTGTGACTGGCGACGAAAAATGGATCTTTTATCGAAATGTTAAGCGTCGTAGACAGTGGCTTGGTAAAGGGGAAGGACCCCAGCCACAGCTGAGAAGGGAACTTCATGTGCAAAATGTTCTTCTTTCAATCTGGTGCAATCGACAAGGAATAATCCACTTTGAATTCTTACCACCTAATGCTCAAATATACTGTCAGCAATTAGAGCGTTTGAACCAAGCTTTGAGGAAAAAACACCTGCTCTAGTGAATCGAAAAGTGTTTCATCAGGACAATGCGCGATCACACACAGCAAGAATCACGTCACAAAAGATCAAAGAACTTGGTTGGGAGAAAATTCCTCATCCACCTTATTCTTCCGATCTTGCACTTTCAGACTACCATTTGTTTCGTAGCTTACAGAATCATTTGGAAGAAACAGCTTTTGTAACACAGGAAGAGGTTAAAACTGACATTTGTGAGTTCTTCGAATCAAAGCCAAAAGAATTAGTAAGCTTGTTAATAGATGGAAGGAAGTCATAGATAATCAGGGAAAATACATTGTTGATTGAATCTGTAATTAAATGTAACATTTGGACACTTCTTTTCTGTCTTCAAAATTCGGACAGAACTTATGGGATGAACTGATAAATTAAATAGTTACAATACAAATACAGCCAGAAAGTCTCTGAATTTTACATCTTATCAACTTTCGGGTGGGTGTTTAAAACTTAAACATATTTAATATTAAAAGACACCGCTTACAGTACCCTGCTTTCCCAGGCATTCTACCCGCTTAGTGTATACTTGCCTCAATGTCTCTTAACTCAAAAGAGCCTCGGTTTTTTTTCAGACATAAATACATGGTAACAGTAATATGAGATAAGTAGCTTTTTGTAAGCATTTCACCCCAAGCAAAGCGGGAGTGCCAATAGCATGCAGAGTCTTCCAAAGAATGAAGTGAAGGAAAAGACTGTGTATAGAGGAAAAGGATAAAAGAAGAAAGGATATCAAAGCATCAGAAGATGGCGATTGACGTTATATTTATTTTTATGAAGATTGTAGTTATCAGGGAAGCAGATAAGAGGAAGGCAGTTCCACTGTCGGGAAGCGGGAGACATAAATACATGGTAACAGTAATATGAGATGCTTCATTATGCGGATACATTCGGAATTCATTGAGCGAACAGCCACCGAGTTACGCTTTTTCACCACTAACTGGATATCGAGCTGGAATAAAATGTAGTATCTGTTATGCCCATTTCTAATGGAAATATTAGACGTTTCTTTATACTGAGAAACACTGACCGAGCAGCCAATGCTACTCTTGGTTGAAATTTATAAAGATTAAAAAGAGATTTTCAGTAAAATAGGTTTCTCGGGTCCACTAACTTTTATCGCTCTTGCCACTACCGATGGGAGTTTCCTTCCTAGCCTTTTTGTTTGAAGTAGCGTGGAACATCAACATCTAATTGTGCCACTATTTTTTATCCGAGTTACATGTGTTAGCCATCTTAGCTATTACAGTTGCTGAAATTCGAGTCGTATTTAAATGGCCTCGTCAAATCGAGACTGTTATATGTCACCAAGCTCGTTCAGAAATATCTAAGCATTCAGCAGTATACGATCGCTTTCTCAGATCGATGCTTAAACGGCTTCGAGCCGAGTGAAGCGTTTAGGTCTCATCCAGGACCATCCCTCCACGAACCTCTTGGACGAGCGCTACAGAATCACTAATAGGAACTTTTTGAACGCAAGCATTTTACCCTAACCAAGGCGGAAGTGCCAATAGCACGCAGAGGCTTACAAAGAGTGAAGTGAGGGAAAAGACTGCGCATAGATGAAAAGGATAAAAGAAGGCTCAATACCACTTAACTCAAACGAGGCTCTGTGTTTTCAGACATAAATACATGGTAACGGTAATATGAGATAAGTAGCTTTTTGTAAGCATTTCACCCCACGCAAGGCGGGAGTGCCAATAGCATGCAGAGCCTTCAAAAAGAATGAAGTGAGGGAAACGACTGTGTATAGAGGAAAAGAATAAAAGAAGAACGGATATCAAAGCAACAGAAGATGGCGATTGACGTTACATTTAATTTTTTGAAGATTGTAGTTACCAGGGAAGCAAATAAGAGGAAGGGAGTTCCACTGTCGGGAAGCGGGAGACATAAATACATGGTAACAGTAATATGAGATGCTTCCTTATGCGGATACATTCGGAATTCATTAAGCGAACAACCGGTGCTAATCAAGTTACGCTTTTTCATCACTACCTGCAGATCGAGTTGAATTAAAATATAGTATCTGTTCTGCCCATTTCTAATGGAAATATTAGTTTTCTTTAATTTTTTGAAGATTGTAGTTACCAGGAAAGCAAATAAGAGGAAGGTAGTTGCATTGTCGGGAAGCGGGAGAAAAGAAATTTTTTGTGTAGTAGTGGTGCTTGCATTTTAATTATTTCAACAGTAAAAGGGTGGGACTTAGTCCCCAAACTAATAGTACGCTTACATTCATTTAGTCGGTGCATCAGTGACGATGGTTCATCAGAACAGTTGCCATGAAAATATTTCGTAGAGGGAAGTCACATCACGTCTATGAGAAAGTGACTGAAGTTGAGATATCAAGTGAGGACCGATCACATTGCAGATCCATCTTTGGATTTTGTCGATAACCTCGAGATGAACTGCAGGGGCAACAGACTAAATATGCCAACAATATTCAGTGCATGAACGAATGGCAGATTTGTAGATGTTTAAGATGGACTCTGACGAGAAAAAAAATCTTCTGGCACGACACAGTGAACCGACTTTCCTTGCAGTAGATGCAGCGATTGATTCAATGTAGCTATTCTACCTGAACAGCAACCATATCTCTTGGGCACATTCAACACCGGCAAAATCTAAAATAGAAACGTCATGTAATTCGAAGAGAAAATCATGACATATTCAAGCTGGTGACGTTCTACATTACCCCGAACAAAAATGGAAAGAAGAAAGCTACCCATCAATATATTAACAGCTACTGGATTTGAGAGTGCTATTTCACCGAGAAATTGTTTGAAGAGAAAGATTTCATAAACTTCAACTGACATTGACTACTGGGTCAAGAAATGCCTAATGTTTTCTCATAAGGAAACGGTTGATCTTATAATTACCATTAGGATCAATCGTACAGAAAAGCGGAAATGTTTTAACATTCATTCTCTTTGATACTTCTGCTAGTTCGGTTCTTCTCTTTAACTTGTTGGAATTTTATATACGTTTTTTTTTATATTCAAATCCATTCTGGCGTATTCTTAAATTGCGTGAGCGGTTTACGTGTTCTGCCCTCATTTGACGATGTGTTAATATTGATGAGCCCTTGGCAAAATACAACTTTGACCTCCCGTGGTCTAGCCAGGCTGTTGAATATATTACAGCAAGCATGAATAAAAAGAAACTATGTGACAAGTTTATGTATGCGTCATTCATTTGATGATTTTTTTTTCTGTATTTCGCTGAAGACTTTCCATAGATATTCTTTGAAAATGTCGAAAGATTCTCCGATTGCGTCAGGAAAAAAAAAACATTTTAACTTGCAGAAAAAGCTGTATGGTGATCACCCCAAATAATTCCGTTGAAATAAAATCTGTCGTTTATATTACAAATATGCTGGTTGGAGCTTAGCTGCAGTTACTAGGAGAGAGGGTATCGGTCATGATCAACAGTTTGATATTTTTACACTTAAAAAAAAATAACGCCCTAACTCTATGGTCTGCAACTTTCTGATCAATTCTGACGCTTATAATAAAGAACAGAAATGTAAATAGCTAGACAAAAAATTGAAACAGAATGTATAGATTAATCTATTAAGATTGCATAAACATGTGGAACAGACTCCCGCGATGATGCTCTCTCGATTGTTACAATCTTAATCTCTTCACGTCTAGGGTCAAACGTTATCTACGCCATAGAACAACCTTCCTCTTCTTATGTTCAGACAACGATCTCATTCACTAAGAAAAATGAAATACTAAAAAAAAAATAGTATTATCGTTTGATAACTGAAGGAGGAAGAACTGTTTATGCAATTTAGAGATTTGATTTCAGGAAAGAAAAATGGAAGAAAAAGTGAAGGAAAGCAAAACAGGAAACGGATCTTTTCCCGATACTGATATATAATTTCATGAATAAAAAGAAAAAGAAAGAAAACGTAAAGAAAAAAAAGATTAAAGATGGAAAACGTAAGAGTTTAGAATTACGATAAGTGATTTTGACGACAGGCAAACAAGCGTTCTTCACAAACACATACGACTGATGAAGCACATTCTTCCATTTATTTGGTATTGCCTAGTTAATATTTGCATAATATTAATATGTATCGGAAATTAACAGAAATTTAAAAGATAATATTCTAAATGAATCAAGTGAATCAAGTTATTAAAAGAGAGCGAATGCTCAAAAGAGAAAGATTTAATTTAAAAGAAAGAATGAAAGAAAGGAAGAAACGTCTACAAAGTCTGAAAGAAAGAAAGAAAGAAAGAAAGAAAGAAAGAAAGAAGAAACGTCTACAAAGTCTGAAAGAAAGAAAGAAAGAAAGGAAGAAGAAAAGAGAGACGTCTACAAAGTCTGAAATAAAGAAAGGAAGAAAGAAAGAAGAAACGTCTACAAAATCTGAAACAAGAAAGAAAGAAAGAAAGAAAGAAAGAAAGAAGAAACGTCTACAAAGTCTGAAAGAAAGAAAGAAAGAAAAGAAAGAAAGAAAGAAAGAAAGAAAGAAAGAAAGAAAGAAGAAACGTCTACAAAGTCTGAAAGAAAGACAGAAAGAAAGAAAGAAAGAAAGGAAGGAAGAAAGAAAGAAAGAGAGACGTCTACAAAGTCTGAAATAAAGAAAGGAAGAAAGAAAGAAGAAACGTCTACAAAGTCTGAAACAAGAAAGAAAGAAAGAAAGAAAGAAGAAACGTCTACAAAGTCTGAAAGAAAGAAAGAAAGAAGGAAAGAAAGAAAGAAAGAAAGAAAGAAAAAAAACGTCTACAAAGTCTGAAAAGAAAACAGAAAGAAAGAAAAGAAAGAAAGAAAGAAAGGAAGGAAGAAAGAAAGAAAGAAAGAAAGAAAGAAAGAAGAGACGTCTACAAAGTCTAAAATAAAGAAAGGAAGAAAGAAAGAAGAAACGTCAACAAGGTCTGAAAAAAGAAAGAAAGAAAGAAAGAAAGAACAAACGTCTACAAAGTCTGAAAGAGAGAAAGAAAGAAAGAAGAAACATCTACTAAGTATGAAAGAAGGAAAGAAAGAAGAAACGTCTACAAAGTCTGAAAGAAAGAAAGAAAGAAAGAAAGAAAGAAAAAAGAAAGAAAGAAAGAAGAAACGACTACAAAGTCCGAAAGAAAGAAAGAAATAAAGAAAGAAAGAAAGAAAAGAAACTACAAAGTCTGAAAGAAAAGAAAGAAAGAAAGAAAGAAAGAAAGAAGAAATATCTACAAAGTCTGAAAGAGAGAAAGAAAGAAAGAAGGAAAGAAAGAAGGAAAGAAAGAAAGAAAGAAAGAACGTCTACAAAGTCTGAAAGAAAGAAAGAAAAAAGAAACGTCTACAAAGTCTGAAAAGAAAGAAAGAAAAAAGAAACGTCTACAAAGTCTGAAAGAAAGAAAGAAAGAAAGAAGAAACGACTACAAAGTCTGAAAGAAAGAAAGAAAGAAAGAAAGAAATAAAGAAAGAAAGAAAGAAAGAAAGAAAAAAGAAAGAAAGAAGAAACGACTACAAAGTCAGAAAGAAAGAAAGAAAGAAAGAAAGAAAGAAGAAACGTCTACAAAGTCTGACAGAAAGAAAGAAAGAAAGAAAGAAAGAAAGAAAGAAAGAAAGAAGGAAAGAAAGAAAGAAAGAAAGGAAGGATGGAAGAAAGAAGAAACGTCTACAAAGTCTGACAGAAAGAAAGAAAAAAAGAAAGAAAGAAAAGAAGAAACGTTTACAAAGTCTGAAAGAAAGAAAAAAAGAAACTTCTACAAAGTCTGAAAGAAAGAAAAAAAGAAACGTCTACAAAATCTGAAAGAAAGAAAAAAATAAACGTCTACAAATCTGAAAGAAAAAAAGAAAGAAAGAAAGAAAGAAAGAAGAAACGTCTACAAAGTCTGAAAGAAAGAAAAAAAAAGAAACAAAGAAACAAAGAAGAAAATTCTACAAAGTCTGAAAGAAAAAAAAAAGAAACGTCTGCAAAGTCTGAAAGAAAGAAAGAAACAAAGAAAGAAAGAAAGAAAGAAAGAAAGTAGAAACGTCTACAAAGTCTGAAAGAAAGAAAGAAAGAAAGAAAGAAAAAAAGAAAGATAGGAACGTCTAAAAAGTTTTAATGGAAGAAACAAATTCGAAACGAAAAGAGAAAGAAATAAAAAAGAATGTCCAACAAGTATTAAATAAAGAAAGAAAAAAACGAAAAAGAAAGGAAAGCCTAAAATGTCTTAAAGAAAGAAAAAGAGAAACATTGAAAAAAAAAGAAAAAAAAGAAAGAAAAATTGCAAAAGAAAGAACAAAAAAAGAAAGGAATGCCTGATATGTCGCAAAGAAAGAAAAAAAGAAATACCGAGTAAAAAAAGAAAGAATGAACGAAAAAAGAAAGGAAAAAGAAAGAAAGGACGCCTAACAATTCTTAAAGAAAAAAAAAAAATTAAAAAAGGAAAGGAACACCTAAAATGTCTTAAAGAAAAAAGAAAGAAAGAAATGCCTGAAACACTTAAATAAAGAAAGAAGAAAAAATAAGGTAAGGAAGAATGGTAAGAAATAAGTAAACAATGAAAGAATAAGGAAAGAAACAAAGAAAAATACACTGAGTACTATGAGATAAAAGAAAAATTCGCTTTTAAAAGCACGAGTTGTTTGTAAGGCAGCCACGGAAGAGTCATTGATGGAAAAATGCATAACAATATATCCAATTGAACTTTGCTAAAAGTAAAGGCAATCATAAAGCTCCCAAAAGTGCAAAAACAGCAAATAAATATATAATAGCGAGCGAGACAAGCAAAGTAAACAGCGGGAAAAAATATGTAAGATAATGACAGGATGCAAAATGAAGAGAATAAAAGAAAGAAAAACGTCATTGTGAAGAAAAAAAAAAGAATCACATTAAAGACGACGTTGTTTATCAAATCAAGTCCAGACGAACATCAATAACAGATAATGGCCAAAAAAAAAAAAAGAGGAAAAAATAAAGAACTGCTAAATGGAAGGCAAAATGAATAAAACAAAAAAAAAATAAACCGGAAATGGCATTCTGACTTCCGCTTCCCTTGTTTTTGCTAAATTTCTTTTAATTAGTCGATAGATAAGAATGTCTGGCAAACAAAAAGTAGGAACGAGAATTGAAAGTAATGGGAAGAAATAGAAAAGATGGGAGAGAAAGATTAATGATTTGTTTAATTAATAAAAGGATGGGTACCATTTGTGGGGTCGTTTTTTTTGCGTGTAGTAATTGTAGATTATTAGGGTATGTAGGATAATAATAATAATAATAATAATAATAATAGCTGGCAACTTGTATTCGAGGATACCTCTCTACTAGGGCGGCCAGCCAATCCCTATTGCAGACGCTCGCCCGGGCACATTTGTGTTTGTTCAACACCCACAGAGCCCACCTGTGGTTTATACTGCAACAATGCTGAGCAAACCTTAGTTACAGTTTTTGGGAGAGAGCGTGTTATCTAGCGTGATTTATTTCAATAATTTGAACAAGGCCAGCACGTTCAAGCCCTCGACCACCATGACTTGTGGATTCGTGCTAGCACAGCTATCGACGGCCCACAAGATTTCTATCTACCCAGTTTCACTCACATGGCTTGGATCAACACGGGGTATAGTATTCAGGCACTTTCCAATAACATCTGACAAATCGACCATGGGGAGATTCGAACCCAGCTGTCATGGTCAGAAATCGAACGTTCTAACCACACGGCCAGGAGAAATAACGGTTGATGGTACGATTTTAATGTTCGACGTATCATCGTATCGAGACCCAGTTTAATAAAGCAGCGACCCTTGGGAATAAATACCTCGAATAGAACTTCTTTCATATTAATGGAATCCGATCTTAGGTGATGGAATCCGATTTTACGTGATGGAATCCGATTTTAGGTGATGGAATCCGATTTTAGGTGATAAAATCCGATCTTAGGTGATGGTAAACCGATCTTAGTTGATGGAAATCTGATCTTAGGTGATGGAATCCGATCTTAGGTGACGGAATCCTATCTTAGGTGAAGGTATCAGATCTTAGATGATGGAATCAGATCTTAAGTGGTATAATCCGATCTTAGATGATAGAATCCGATCTTAGGTGATGTAATCCTATTTTAGTTGATAGAATCCGATCTTAGGTGAGGTAATCCGATCTTAGGTGATAAAATCCGAACTTAGGTGATGGAAAACCGATCTTAGGTGATGGTATCAGATCTTAGTTGATGGAATCATATCTTAGATGGTATAATACGATCTTAGATGATGGAATCCGATCTTTGATGATGGAATCCGATCTTAGGTGATGGAATCCGATCTTAGGTGATGTAAACCTATCTTATTTGATGAAATCCTATCTTAGGTGATGGAATCCGATCTTAGGTGATGGAATCAGATCTTAGGTGATGCAATCTGATCTTACGTAATAGAATCCGATCTTAGGTGATGCAATCTTATATCAGTTGATGGAATCCGATCTTAGGTGATGGAATCCGATCTTAGTTGATAGAATCCGATCTTAGGTGATAGAATCCGATCTTAGGTGATGGAATTCTATCTTAGGTGATGGAATCCGATCTTAACTGCCATACATGATACATGATTGGACGATCATATATTTTAGCAAATCATGATAGATTTCTTGATTTGTTTGTTTAATGTGACGTAATGTGGCTTCCCTGTATCTTTTCTACACGTATTTTCATGGCAACTGCTCTGACGACATACTTTCACTGGTAAAGTGGTGCATAGTAATGGCTCTTTTTTTATCGAAAGCGTTCTGGAGATTTTCTTCAGTGTTATTATGCCGAAATTGAATTGGGAACTTGAACGTAATAAAAATATATATGTTGTTTTGCTTTCACAATATGAGTCTGGTTTGCATCCTCTCTCCTGTTGTCGTAGTGCCGGCCGCTTTCCACGGCATGCAGCCATAAACGAAATCATCAAAAGAGGTTTGGATGCAGCTGAGTTCCCTTCCCAAATCGAACCTGTAGGCCTCGACCGCGGTGATGGAAAGCGGCCGGATGGCATTACCATTTTCCCTTTTAAAATGGGGAAGTCGTTGATTTGGGATGCGACCTGTGCGGATACATTTTCGGCCGGTAATTTGATCAAGTCCGCGGTTGAGCCAGGATCCGTCGCCCGGGATGCAGAGATAGAAAAATAGTTAAATATTCTTCTCTTGCTGATAGAATTTTTTTTTACTCCTGTGGCAGTGAAGACTTCAGAGGTTATTGGCCCTCGTTTGATGGCGTTCCTTCGGAGGATTGGCGCGATTGCGTCTCGATTAAGGGACGTGCCTCGTGAAACGGAGTGGTTCTTGCAGCTTGTCTTACTGGCGATGGTTCGAGGTAATGCTTTCTCCATCATTGTAGCTGGCAGAGGATAGCAAATAAACCCATTTTGTTTATAGTTACTTTGAAGAAAAATATGATATGAAAAAAGTGGCAGTTTGTAGAGTAAAAACAAAATTCCTTTTTTTTTAAAAAAAAAAAAAATCATTTTATAGTTACTTTGAAGAAAATTATGATATGAAAAATGGGCAGTTTGTAGAGTAAAAACAAATTTCTTGTTTATTTTAAAAAAGAAGTCATTTTATAGTTATTTTGAAGTAAAATATAAAAAAATGGCAGTTTGTAAAGTAAAAATTAAATTCCTTTTTTTTAAAAAAGAAAAAATTCTGCTTATCGTTACTTTGAAGAAAAATATGTGTTGAAAAAATGGCAGTTTGTAGAGTAAAAACAAATTTCTTGTTTTTAAAAAAAATTCATTTTATAGTTATTTTGAAGGAAAATATGATATGAAAAAAATGGCAGTTTGTAGATTAAAAACAAATTTCTTGTTTTTTTTTAAAAAAGTTCTGTTTATCATTACTTTGAAGAAAAATATGATATATAAAATGGTAGTTTGTAGAGTAAAAACAAAATTCCTTTTTTAAAAAGAAAAACAATTAATACATGGTAGATGATACTCACCTTTTGTGCATATACATGATTGTGTGGACATAATTACTAGAGGAGGTGATATATGTGTTTGCTGTCTTAGTTTTGTTGAAGTTATATCTTGGAATACAGTTTGAAGTCTTTAAAAAATTGTAGGATTTTATATAGATCAATGTCATGAAAGAGTTCTTTCATGTTGGTTGCTTGGTAGTATTTTAAAAGAATTTGTGTGAAGTCGTTAAAATTTGTTATTTTGTGCGTAATATTGGTAATCTTACTATAAAGGTTTTATTGCTAATTTTTATTTAAAAATGTACTGCTGGTATTTCTTGTATAAAAATTTATTTTCATACTTTCATAGTGTTTTGTTTTTGTTTGGAGGTTCGCTATTTGTCCATAGTTGGGTTCTAACAGGTGCTACAACCCAAGGTCAGGGTGAACCTGGGAACAACAGCAATTAAGAGGTGGTCCCACGTTTATCAAAATCTCCAATCTCCAGAGGTGTAGTTTATCATCATACCCAGGACACTTACCAATGAAATCCTATCATAGTTGCCATACATGATGCACGATTGAATGATCATGTATTTTATCAAATCATGATTGACATACTTTCTGCAGTAGAGTGGCTGCCAACTGACGTCACAGGACCCAATCTATCCTTCTATTTAAGCCATAGCTGGAGAAAGAAGAGACAGGTGAATACATTTCCTAAGTGAATGGAATGAACTCGACTGGAATTCGAACTCGGCTCTCCGAAATCTTATGCAACTCGGCACTCACACATCAAAGCTTACAGCAGATTTATTCATCAGTCTTGCTATATAAGTCCAAAAAAGTTAGTATGTATAGCACATTATCAATGGAAATACATTGAATCAATAGCTTCATCTGCAGCAAGGAAAGTTGGTTCACTGGGTCGCTCCAGAAGGTTTTTCTCGTCTGTGTCCATCCTTCAAATCTACAAATCTATCATTAGTCCTTGCATTGAATACTGTTGCCATATATGGTCTGCTACCCCCGCTGTTCATCTCGAAGTTCTCGACAAAATCCAAAGATGGATATGCTATGTGATAAGTCCTGACCTGGCATCTCGACTACAGTCACTTTCTCACAGACGTAATGTGGCTTCCCTCTGTCTTTTCTACAAATATTTTCATGGAAACTGCTAAGACGACCTACTTTCACTGGTAAAGTGATGCATAGTAAGGCTTTTTTTTTTATTATCGAAAGAGTTCTAGGGTTTGCTTAAGTTATCCTACTGTACAATAACCCACACTCGGTCAAAATAGCAAAAGAGTGGTTCCAGCAATATGACTTCGATGTTTTGCTGTAATAATTATCTGCTATAAATCGTACTGCGACCGGGAAAAGTGGTGGACTCATAGCTTTCCCAAGGGTATTTGCGCGTAGGTGAATATAAGGAACCCGACTGGAACTGGAACTCAGCGCTACGATTTCCAAATTCGGAGCCGTTATCCACATTACACCACTCGCACATCCAAGCTTACAGCATTCCCAAGGGGTCACTCATCATGTACTAACTAGGCTCGAAGTTGCTTAACTTTAGTGATCATGCGAGAACCGGTGTTTTAACGTGATATGGCCGTAAGCCTTGGAGAACTTGGTACTTCCAACTGGTCACCCATTTTGGTACTGACTAGGATCGACGTTGCTTAACTTCGGTGATCGCACGGGAACCGGTTTTTCAACGTGATATCGCCGTAAGCACCGTGAGTAACGAGGCAGATTTAATGAAAATATTAACTAAAAAGTATACTTACAATCAGAATGAGAAAACTAAATCCGATGGTGCATAGGAATAGAGTTTTTTTTTTCTTCCAGAAACAAAGGTGCAGAGAGGTTGCCTCGATTTCAAAGGTTAATAAAAAAAAAAACGAGAAAAGAAGATAAAAGGGGAAAAGATCGTATATCTCTGAAGTATATTAAATGCCATTTATTTTCTCTTTCAGGTAAATACCCCCACTATGGCCAAGAGTGGAGAGCAAAGTTTGTTTTTGTTATGGGGTCCACCCCTTTTTCATACAAGTGGACTCGACCAGTGTGTACTTGGACTGCTGCCGTTAAATACCCAGTGTCAGTCAGAGTAGAGAGAGACAGTGATTGTGATTGGGTTGGAGGTAGAGTAATAGTGTGAGGTAACCGCTTGTAGAAGTCACAGTTACGAACACGTAGACTCTAAGGAAGTCCTACTTCGAGACTGGATTTACCAGACTGTATATGTATATTATTATTGCTACTAACCACGTTTCTGGATCTACTAACCGTATTACCAATTGTATTATTGTGTAAATACATTTATTTGTTATTGTTGTGAAGTAGAGTTTAGCACTAATCATCCACTAGACTCATATTAGTATTTAGACACCCTCCCACGAGTGCATCATGTGGCACAAGGCCGGTTTAAAGTGGGATCTCTGATCCCGTGGGCTCAGCCAAAAATATGCCCTTTGAGCCGTATAAACGGGTTCAGGGTTGGTTTACCTCCCCGTAAGACTCTCCGCCCTTCGGCGTAGCCTCGTTCGGTTTCCTCCCCGCCCGAAGGCAGAGAGTTCAACCGATCAGCAGGTCAGCCGGACGGCTAGACTCATACTACTCGTGATTATTCTCAGTGACCACTTATATGAGTGTTCACTTATGCTTATGCAAATTATGCATACTAATTTGCTAGTATCACTACAGTTATATTCCATTCCTGCCTTTGTCATTCATTGGAGACCGGATTTCATCTCGGAATCCACAACAGTTTTTTTTTTTTCTTCTCTTATGATCATGTGTTTGTTTTTTTATTAACCTTTGAAATCGGGGTAACCTTTCTGCTCCACCCGGTATTAAGATATAGGAAAAAATATGTTTAGAAAAAAATGGTTGGATGTTGGAGAACCTCGGCACGGATAAAGAAAACTTCAAGTGGCAGACAATGTCTTTCGGTCGAACAATGTTGAGAATGAAAAATATTGAAGAACGAATAAGTTTGGAGTAAATTTGGTTATGCTGGTTCTTGCATTCAAAAAGAGGAACCTGACGTTCTGGGACAGCGAGTAACACATTTAATGCGATTGTGTGGATGAATGGCAGAGGGGTACATGAATGTAGTGAACAGTCAAACGTTATTTTGTAAAATATAAGACAGGAAGCCATGGAAAAAAAACAGGAAAAAAGATACATTGGCCTGTTCCTTCGACCTTGTCATGTTTATTCATTACACCCCGGCCCTGTCTTTTGAAGAGGAGTAGAGCTTTTCTTGTTTCCTGTTTAGGATTGAGTTTCCGGTTCCTTCTGAAGTATTTTCATTATCTTTTATTCCCAGTAGTCCAACTGCGTCTTAGTCATTATAAACTTGCTTGGGGTTAATTGATTAAAAAAATATTATTTCTTATTTATCTGCATTTTTACGAAGCTTCGACAGTTGTAATTTCCTGTCTCCCTCAAGTGTCAATCACATTCTGTAGCTGTCAAGCAATATTGAATAAAACAGTTTATTCGATATTCGTGTAATACCTTTGAATATCTTAGTTTTAGTTAATTCCTATTGATAACTCAACTTTGTTAAATCATTGGGGACACATGGCCCGGTGTATAAAAGTGTTAGTTGACTGATCCAAAATTGACTTGACACAAATAATTGACTTCTTCTTCTTCTTCTTCTTCTTCTTCTTCTTCTTCTTCTTCTTCTTCTTCTTCTTCTTCTTCTTCTTCTTCTTCTTCTTCTTCTTCTTCTTCTTCTTCTTCTTCTTCTTCTTCTTCTTCTTCTTCTTCTTCTTCTTCTTCTTCTTCTTCTTCTTCTTCTTCTTCTTCTTCTTCTTCTTCTTCTTCTTCTTCTTCTTCTTCTTCTTCTTCTTCTTCTTCTTCTTCTTCTTCTTCTTCTTCTTCTTCTTCTTCTTCTTCTTCTTCTTCTTCTTCTTCTTCTTTCTTCTTCTTCTTCTTCTTCTTCTTCTTTCTTCTTCTTCTTCTTCTTCTTCTTCTTCTTCTTCTTCTTCTTCTTCTTCTTCTTCTTCTTCTTCTTCTTCTTCTTCTTCTTCTTCTTCTTCTTCTTCTTCTTCTTCTTTCTTCTTCTTCTTCTTCTTCTTCTTCTTCTTCTTCTTCTTCTTCTTCTTCTTCTTCTTCTTCTTCTTCTTCTTCTTCTTCTTCTTCTTCTTCTTCTTCTTCTTCTTCTTCTTCTTCTTCTTCTTCTTCTTCTTCTTCTTCTTCTTCTTCTTCTTCTTCTTCTTCTTCTTCTTCTTCTTCTTCTTCTTCTTCTTCTTCTTCTTCTTCTTCTTCTTCTTCTTCTTCTTCTTCTTCTTCTTCTTCTTCTTCTTCTTCTTCTTCTTCTTCTTCTTCTTCTTCTTCTTCTTCCTTCTTCTTCTTCTTCTTCTTCTTCTTCTTCTTCTTCTTCTTCTTCTTCTTCTTCTTCTTCTTCTTCTTCTTAGAGAAAAGAGAGAGAAAAGAAAAAACTGATAGATAGATAGATTGACATTTTTGCTCTGATTAGTCTTCTTGAGAGAAAAGAAAAACTGAAAGATAGATAGATAGATAGATAGATAGATTGACGTTTTTGCTCTGATTAGAGAGAGAGAGAGAGAAAAGAAAAAACTGATAGATAGATAGATAGATAGATAGATAGATAGATAGATAGATAGATAGATTGACATTTTTGCTCTGATTAGAGAGAGTGAGAGAAAAGAAAAAAACTGAAAGATAGATAGATAGATAGATAGATAGATAGATAGATAGATTGACGTTTTTGCTCTGATTAGAGAGAGAGAGAGAGAAAAGAAAAAACTGATAGATAGATAGATAGATAGATAGATAGATAGATTGACATTTTTGCTCTGATTCTTCTATTTTATTTTCTTGAGAGAAGCTATTCTTCTTCTTCTTCTTCTTCTTGCAAAAAAAACTGAAAGATAGATAGATAGATAGATAGATAGATAGATAGATAGATTGACGTTTTTGCTCTGATTAGAGAGAGAGAGAGAGAAAAGAAAAAACTGATAGATAGATAGATAGATAGATAGATAGATAGATAGATATTGCCGGTACTCGGGCTGACATTTTTGCTCTGATTAGAGAGAGAAAGGGATAAGCGGACAGAAAAGAAAAGAAAGAATAAAAATATTTGAAAAAAATCTGAAATAGATAGATAGATAGATAGATAGATAGATATGAACAAAATGGGATAGATAGATAGATAGATAGATAGATAGATAGATAGATAGATAGATAGGAACACGCTGACATACATACATAGATATTTATTGCCGGTTCTCGTCTGCGTTTTTGCTCTGATTAGAGAGAGAGGGAGGGAGAGAAGAAAAAACTGAAATAGAGATAGATAGATAGATAGATAGATAGATAGATAGATAGATAGGAACACACTGAGATAGATAGATAGATAGATAGATAGATAGATAGATAGATAGATAATTATTGCCGGTTCTCGGGCTGACATTTTTACTCTGATTAGTGAGAGAGAGAAAGAGAGAGAAATAAAGAGAGAGAGAGAGAATAAACGGAGCGAAGAAAAATAAAAAATAAAAAATATTTGAAAAAATCTTAAATAGATAGATAGATAGATAGATAGATAGATAGATAATGAAATGATAATGAGCAAACTAAAAAGGAAGAAAAGTAGTGAAAAGAGACTGATGTATTTTTATCCAACGCCAATACCGTATCAAGTCCCCTTTTTGATTTGAAGACCTTCCTTAACATTGTCATTTATCTCAGTTAAGCAAACAAGAGATGCCGGGTCGCATAAAGCAGAAAGCAAAGCAATCCATTAACCAACAAGCCAAGTAACATAAGTAAGAATGGCGGCCAAAGTAAATATTTGAAGAAACGCTGAGAAATTGATATCCACACGAACTGCCCATCAAGTCCTTTCAAATTTCGATGCATCAGCTTACAGTCAGGAATTAACTTGACCGCTCAGAGTCGATTCGTATCTCAACGTCACACATCATTAGGAAATCGATATCGATTAGTTGCCGACGCCATATTGGCAGTTTTCATACATACGAAGCATGTCAGTGCGGCTGCAGCCACCCCAACTCGGAACTCGGATGGATTTGGGTGAGGAATTCGCTCTGAATGGTGCTTACGTTGGACGGATCGTTTTAGAAATATGCGGATTTGTGAAAAGGTGAGTGAGTGAGAGTGAGAGAGAGAGAGAGAGAGAAAGAGAGAGAGAAAAAAAGAAAGAGGACAAGAATTAGATTGGTAAGAGAGATGTACTGAAGGAAAATAAGATAGATAGATAGATAGATAGATAGATAGATATTAGGTTGGTGCAAAAATAATGACGTAATAATGACGTAATAATGTCGGTTTTTGACGTTAAAAATACGTCAAAAAACGACATTATTACGACATTATTTTTGCACCAACCTAATAGATAGATAGATAGGTAGAGATTACTAAATAGATAGATAGATAGATAGATAGATAGATAGATAGATAGATAGATATTACTAAATAGATAGATAGATAGATAGATGGATAGATAGATAGATAACACATTGAGATTTTGAGGTTCTGGCCTACTTAGACAGACGTAGCTACATTCAATACACGTAAGGTAAAATTTTGTATCAACATATTCACAGAAATTGACATCGGGACCTGGGATTTTTCACGGACAACACAATTATTTTCCAAAATATATATATATATGTATACCTACATACATGTTTCAAAATGCAGAAGTATATATATATATATATATATATATATATATATATATATATATATATATATATATATATCACTCTGT